GGCTTCCCCGGCCAGCCCCCCTGCACTGCACCCCAGCTCTGCTTCCCACCGGCCCATTCCTCTTCCTTGTCTCCCCAGGCCAGCACCGCTGCACCCTTCTCCCCCCCACCAGCTCTGCTTCCTGTCCCCCTGCCCCTCCCAGCCAGCCCCACTCCCCTCCTGGCTGGATCCTCTTCCCTGATCAAGTTTGTCCGGTATTTTTTCTGAAGCTACCTGGTAACCCTAATTATCTCACAGCTAGGCATTCAGAAATGCTGTTATAATGAATGGTTAAAGTGGAGAGAGGAGGAAAAGGTGAGTTGATGGATCTAGCCCATGAAGGAATGTTGCAAGGCTTTGGTGAGGATGGTTCCGTTTAACCCTAAATAAAGTTGGTACCTACAACACTGCTATTTACCAAAACTAAGCACATAATTTGACACATCTGCAGAAATTCAACAGTCTAAGACATTCTGAAGCAAACTCATCCTTGTTGTAACACATTGCGTGTGTCTTCAGGCCACCTACTTCTAGCTATCCTGGTACATCTCGCATTGAATTCTCTTCATACGTGTATTTTCAGCTGAGAATAAGTATGAAATCAAAGCTTGAATAATACTCAGGAGTACTGTCTTCTGTTAGGAAAGACACATTCAATCTTTAAAAGATAAAGTACTGAGCTGGCTTTAAATAGAGAATAAAAAGTAACCTTTAGGGGAGCACGGAATTAACCTATATCTTCCACTAGAGACTCTGCTAAAGTCATAAACAATGAGAGAGGCAACTTATACAGCATAGTTTTAGGAAATGCTAGATTAAAGTTACAGCCTAATAATAGTCCATCTGGGCATAGTTATTTTATATGTATGATATATAGCTTTCTACCAAATAAAATAAAGCCAGACATTTTATTTTTGGAAATGTGAAGCTTGCTTCTACTCTATGGATGTCCATTTTATCATCACCTAGTAATTTAAAGAAGACCATGTATTTCAAGCTGTTAATATATCATATTAGTGGTTTACTTGTTTATTTTTTTCTAAATTAATTTTTAGTGGCTAAGGTCATGGCATTTTTATAACTGTGCCTTATTACAATGAAAGAGCCCTGGAAAGACACTGATATTTTTAGAACTATGACATTATGACCTATTTAGTGAAGGAGCTAAAGGATTACCAGTGAACAGCCATATGGAGTTGTTCACATTCCATGCCAATATGCGGAATGTGTTTCTATACAATGGAGAGTGGTATTACACTTTTGAGTATTTTCCTGTCCCTGTATTTGTTCTTTTTTGGCGACTGGTTAGTTTTTTTGTTCGTTTTTTTGTTTTGTTTTGGTAAATGCCTTTGTTGACAATGTGACTTCTATCCAGAATAATTTGTTCATTTCCAAAAAGAAACTGGTTGTGTTTGTTGGGATTTTTAAAAAACTACTTGATTGATGTATAGATTTATGCCCACTTCATAGTAACCTTTTTAAATAATATTTCACTGGCCGTGGTCTTTCTTTCTCATGGGCCGTATGGAGATCTTCTTAGGAAGGCACCATGCAAAATATAGATGGGAGTTCATTGGCATCTGTAAGAGAAACAGATAAAATTACCATTTAAAATGTTTCAGGGGTGGAGGTAACCTATGGAATACAAAAGGCATAAAGTCCCCCAGATAACTATATGCATATGTTATGCCCATGTAATGAGCATACTGTCAAATATTGAAGAAAACGTATTTATTCTTCGTAAGACAAAAGCAGAATGAGTTTCCATTACATTTTAATTTTGCATTTACCACTTTAAAAAAAGATAAGAAATGTTTACAGATGTCACTGGAGTGAGGTGATTCTGCGACTTTGTTGGGGAGCATGAGATCAATTAAATGTAGGGCTGTATTCAGTATTACTTATTCAGGCAAAACTCCCTGTGGTTTTCTGTGGGAGTTTTGCCTGAACAATAGCTACTAAATAAAACCCCCTCAGAAAAGAAGTGCTGTGAATGCTTATGTAACAAACTTGGTTTCAAGAACATGGAGGCTTTCACCAATGACATCTATAGATGCTGCAAATTCCACAATAATGTATTCCGTATAACTAGTGTTGGTTAAAACTCGAGCAGCCGCATTCTGGACCAGTTGAAGTTTCCGAAGGCTCTTTAGAGGTAGCCCTACATAAAGTGCATTACAGTAATCCCGTCGGGATGCAACAAGAGCATGGATCACTGTGGCCAAGTCATGTTTGTTCAGTAAGGGTCGCAGCTGGCGGATTAAACAAAGTTGCCCAAAGGTACTCCTGGCCACTGAAGAAATCTGATTTTCAAATGTTAAAAAAGGGTCCAGGAGGACTCCCAAGATGCGTACCTGTTCTTTCAGGGGGAGATTAATCCCGTCTATAACAGGTGCCATGCCACATTCACGCACAGATGGCCTGATGATCCACAGGACCTCAGTCTTATCTGGGTTAAACTTCAGCTTATTTGACTTCATCCAAACTGTCACTGCCTCCAGACACCGATTTAGATCAGTCATTGCCACACCTGGTTCTAATATCACAGGGAAATAGAGTTGGGTGTTATCTGCCTATTGATGGCACCGTCCTCCAAAACTCCTTATTCCTTCCTGGCTAGATTTAATAAGCCATGAAGGGCAGGGGTTAAGTGAGCACGTGGTTTGTCGCACTCCTCCAAGCACCCTGTCCACATAGCTCTTCTTCGCTGTCAGCACCACCACAGAGTAAGCTCACAGTTCAGCTCTAACCCGCAGCCGGTCAGACTCAGCTCTAGTTCTCCTCCAGCGGCGTTCTAGCCGTTGCACAGACTGTTTTGCTGCCATCAGCTCCCTAGAAAACCAGGGAGCAAACTTGGCTCGACTGGTCTGAAGAGGG